TCTGACCAGCGTCAGCATCCTGATGAAGAAACAACAGGTTTGAGATGATCAGAGCTGACGGCTGTGTTTATATTCTGAAGGACCAGACTCACTCCTCTCCTTTGTCTCCAGATGCTGGAGAACCAGGTGGAGGTGCGTCAGAGGGAGGTGGAGGAGCTCCAGTCTCAAGCTCATGTGTTGAGGCAGGAGGGAAAGGACACAGACGAGGTGGATGGACGCCGGAAGGTGGTGGAGCAGAAGTTTAAGGAGCTGCTGGAGCCGTTGCAGAAGCGGAAAAACTTCCTCATGGCCTCTCGGGAGATTCACCAGTTTAACCGCGACATGGAGGATGAGATTGTAAGTTTGGGTTTTAAAGATGCATGTGAATGTTGACCTGTCGGTGTGTTTAACTGGTCGTTTCTCCTCAGCTCTGGGTTGAGGAGCGGATGCCTCTTGCTACGTCAACAGACCATGGCCACAATTTACAGACTGTTCAGCTGCTTATCAAGAAGAACCAGGTAATGTGTTGCTTTTTAATTACTATTTACAAACAAACAAACTAACAGGTTATACTAGCCTTTCTGAAAAAGAGATGTTTTTAGATCAAAATCGATTCTAAAATGTAGAATAATTGAATAATCAAATGTAAAACTAAAACACTGCATAGTCTTAACTGTATGAATAAAATGTAAATTAATTCTAAAAATACTAAAGTGATTCAGCCAAAAGTAGTGAGTCATTTTCTTTCTTTTTTTTGTTTTTTGATTAACATTAATGAAACAGATTTTTTCATTTTTTTCGTTCATGCATGTTTCTTTATCACTCTTATGTGTCAATAACTTTAAGTACTGTAGTACCACAGAGTTGAAGAAATGTAAAACATTATATAAGCCATTAGAAAATCGTTTTTTATAATCGATGCGAATCAGCAGAGGATAGAATGGCGATTCATATGTGAATCAACATTTTCCCCCACTTCTATACACTACTGTTCAAAAGTTTGGGGTCTGTAAGATTTTTATAAAAATATATACTTTTTTTTCTTAGCAAGGACACGTTAAATTAATCAAAAGTGACGGTAAAGACATTTATAGTGTTCAGGGTTGAAATTAAACTAAAATTATTAAAACTGAAATTAAAACCATAAAAAAAATGAAATAAAACATGAATTAAAATAAAATAAAATACGAACTTTTTTTCAGCTAGTTGCCAAGGCAACATTTTTATTTTTTAATTTAGTTTAACTTGTTGTACTAAAATAACTAAAACTGAAATAAAAATGAATAAAAACACTACAAATAAAATAAACACAACAAAAATACTGAAATTAAAATTAAATTAAAGTGAAAATGTGAGGTATAAAAATTAAAACTAATTCAAAATATTAACAAAAACTATGAAATAACACTGATAATGTTACAAAAGATTTTTTATTTCAAATAAATGCTGTTCTTT